TTCAGCCATAAAAAGGAAGGAATTTTTGCTATTTTTGCTAGAAACATAGATGGACCTGGAGAGCATTATGCTAAGTGAAATAAGTCAGACAGAGAAAGGCAAATACCATGTGATCTCACTTACATGTGGAATCTAAAATAAAACAAAATTGAGTTCATAGATACAGAGAACAGATTAGTAGTTCTCAGAGAGTAAAGGGTTGACAAAATGAGTGAAGAGGGTCAAAAGGTATAAATTTCCAGTTATAAAATTAATAAGTCATGGGACTGTAACATATAGCATTGTGACTATAGTTAATAATACTGCAGTACACATTTGAAAATTGCGAAGAGAGTAGATCTTAAAAGTTCTCAGGACAAGAAAAAAATTGTAACTATATATGGTGATGGATGTTTACTGTGGTAAACACTGTGGTAATTGTTTTGTAATATATGCAAATATTGAAGAATTACATTATACACATGAAACAATATTATGTTATATGTTAGTTATATCTCAATAAAATACATAAATAAATTATCTTAGCACCCATTTTGAGAAACAGAGAAAGACTTTGAGTCAAAGATAGAGTAAAAACATTTTTATTTTAGTTTTTCCTTCTGCCCAATGGCAAGGAATGGAGTATGGGAAGGTGAGAGATTAGAGTGTAGGAAGGTAAGAATAAAACAAGATAATCTCTAGCTACAATGAAAGTTTCACCAACCATACATGCCAAACACTCTGAAGTGTGGAACATTATTAGGAACTGTGATGAAAACCCTATGACCACAAAGTGATATGGTCCTGAATGTCATATCTAATAATTTTTGTAATTAAAAAAATTAATTACAGTTGACATACAATATTATGTTAGTTTCAGGTGTACAACAGTGATTAGACATTCGTATAACTTATGAAGTGATCACCCCAATAAATCTAGCCCTCTTCTGACACCTCTAATGACTTTTGATGGAAATAAAATTTGGAAGTATAGATGGACCTTAAAAAAAGCAAGGAATGTTTATGGAGATCTAGTTAAACACTACAGAATGGTAGAGGAACTGAGGTGAAGCAAATCTCAGACAGATATACTAATTGTCTTTTTTAAGGACTATCATGTTGGCCAATAAGTGAAAGGGAGCAAATAAAGAGAGAATAGCAGTGAAGTGACTACAGGATTTCAGATAACATGGTATGGCTTTTCTATGAACCATGTGACCTCCTGAACACCAAAAATTGAGGGCAAGTAAAATAAATGATCTGGTGAGAGGTTTTCTAAGTTAACAAATTCTAGTGAAGAATGCTGAATTTTCTACTTTCTCCCTTCCTTCTAACCTTATTCTGTTCTTTTGGAGTAGCTAGCCCCACTTAAAGATGAGTAATAATCAGGGACTCATTTCTTACTTGTCTCAAAGCTACAGCCCCTTTCTGTACACACCATTCATATTTTATTTACTGGTTATGTTCAAGCATCATCACCACCCCCCACCTGACTCAGGAAAAGACGAACTCATCTCCAGTTTCAGGTTTAGATTTAATTAATTATTCCAGTCACACAGAATTCTCCTAGTGATTGTAATATATGGGATTGGCTTGGACACACAATTTAAACTGGTTAAAAAAGATTTAAAAGAAAAAAAAAATCAATACAAATTCATGGAGAATTCTCAGTGCCTTTAGTAGGCTCTCAGTAAATAATTATTGAATATATGTAAGTCCCTATTTCCACTGGCAGTAGTCTTACTGCTGAGAGAGGAAATAGACTTAGGATAAAGCCAACACTGAGATATGGTAAAACCAAACCTGGAAACAAATTGGGTCACTGAGCCTCTGATCCTACCAGGTCTAGAGTTTGCCCTACCTCTGGACTGCCATGTACTCAAATAAATGTCCTTATTGTTTTAATCAGTTTAAACTGGTATTTTCTATTAATTACGACTGAAGGATGTATAAGCAAAAGACAGCTAAATAACACATGAGAAATGAATCAAAGAAACGTAGGTGTTCAGACAAATTGTTAGCTACAATTTCTTTGAGATGGTTGAACGTATGTTCTAGGAAGTAACCGCAAAGGTATCTGCAATGGTACACAGATAAAAAGAGAAGTAAATCAGCAGAGCTTAGGAACACTGCAGAACTAAGTCATATTATAAGCAACAGAAAATAGAATAACGGCCATCAAAACCCAGCCAGAGAGATAGTAGATAGACTTGAGAAAAACAATGAAAAAGAAAAAAGGATATAGAAATTATTACCAAAAGAGAATATAGAAGTCAAAGAACATAGAAAAAAAATGATATATATGAAGAGACTATAAATGAGATAGAAAAACATATTCAATTACATAATAGAAAATTCATGACATAAGATGAGTCCTTAGTGTATCTTTTCGATTAGCAGTAACAATAGGGAAATGGATACCATCACATGTCCTAGTACAACTTTCTAATCTCAATGATAAGTAATAACCACATGGGTATCTGAGCCACAAAAGCATGTCACGTATGGGGCCGGGAGTGAGGATTAGAGTTCATGTCGGCTTCCATCTTTCATAGTACCTTTGATACCAAAAGACAGTATATTAAGAACGATGTAGTTCTGGGGGAAACAAAGAGTATAATTCGAGTAATTTATACCAAGTTAAGTTATTCTTAAAGTATAAAGACAGCATATAAAGAATGTACCCAAGGCCTTTCTTAAAAACGCTACTGTATGACCAAGTCAACTAAGAGATGAATCAAAATAAAACTAAGGAATAAAGAAACTGCTAAAAGGATTGGTGATGAGCTTTGAATCTGATTAGTTAGAACTTAGGTTAAATAATTTAATTTTGATTATTAAACAGAAAGAAAATGTTATAATCTTTGGCAACCTTAAAATGTCACTAAAATCAACAAAAGTTAAGGTGAGTGAGAAAAGATAAGAATAATTATAGGCATGCCTATTTCTCATCATTCATAATTATGAATCCTAAGTATTTTTTTTACAGCTTAATTATATCAGTACAAAAAAAGCCTCAAAATTCGAAGTTTAAAAAAAATGTTTTCCTGATTTAATGTTTCAGGAACTAATATTGTTGGTGAAGAAGCACATATTTGAAATTTAGCATTTCTTTCAGGTTTATTTTACTCGTCAGGTTAACTTTAAATCGATTACCTTTTTATTTTAAAAAGCATGTATGGTATAACCCTGTGTCTCTCAATCTACATAGAGAAATATATAAAATTACATTTAACAATATTAATTACTATTAACATTTTGAGATGTTGTGTGATTATTACTTTTTTTCTAATTGTAAATGTTTTATATATTGCATGAATATCTTGGACTGGATATACATTGCTTATAAAAAACACAAAAGTTATCTTAAATAAATGATTTTTGTTATCTTTCTAAGATAAATAAATACAAAAACAAAAGTATAAATTAGGGAAACATTAACTGACAACAAAAATATCTAAAATGTGGTTCTTAAAATAAAATTAGAACCAGCAAGAGAGTAAAGAGAATACTCAATGTAACATTACAGAAAGAAGAAATTCTTAAATACTAAGAGAATATTAAATAAAATATCATATTTATAAATTTTTTAAAGTGATTTAAAATGGACAGGTAATTACTAGCTAATGACATATTAAAGTAAATAGAAAGTACTTGTCACAGAAAATTGGGACGAAAACTCAAAGCAGATACCATCACGGTTCTCAGCACAAGCAAATCTACCACTCCCTATTTTTAGCAACTCATTGTTTGCAGCCTGCTCAATCGTTTAATAAAGAAATAATTTGAACTGCTATTAAACAATATAGACAAAATAATTATGTTGTATTTTTTCCCCAAAGACATCATGAGCCCTGTATTAGTAAAATAATGAATTTCCAAAGAAATTATTTTCCAAGGTATATCATAGTCTCCCCTATGAACTGAGAAATTTGATGCAACTGACTTTAAATCACCTCTATAAACCCTGATCCTAGCACAATACCACACTCCGAGGATGATTAGGTAAATAAACTAACAAATCTGGTCCATGTGGGCTTGGATATTACATCTTTCCTAACAAAGAGGATGCCTTGTGTTAGGTTATCTACTGAGAACTGATGAACAGGAAGGAAAGGATAGAAGGAGTACTACTATTCCATAGAAGCATTAGTTTAACAGATATTTACCGACCACTTACTGTGTGCCAGGCATCCTACTAAACTCTGAGAATATCAGTGGCTAACAAAATTTAGTCTGGAAAGGAAGATAGATAATAAAACAAATAATCACACAAATGAAGAAATAATTACAAAGCATAATAAGTGATATAAAGAGTGCTATAAGAGAAAAGGAGAAAAGAAAAACAAAAAGGAGAGTATGACGAGGGACATTAGATAAAGTTTAAATTTGATAATTGTATTATGTTGATTGATTTAGGTTTCGTGATTAGTTATATTAGTGGATTAGAGTAGGCCTTTTTCAGGAAGCAACATAACACTTAAGACCTGATAAATGAGGCATTGACCAGATAAACTTGGGAAGAACCTTCTGGACAAAATAAATAGCTCCTTGAGGATTGAAAAATGTGTGGTATTTCAGAGAAATAGAAGGCAGATATTCCTGAATCCTAGTAAGCGAGGGGAGTGATGCCATGACATGGAGTCCTATCACTGATGTTCTTATAGCCCCTTCTAATAATTTTGGATTCCATCCCAAGTGTAATCAGTGAGATGTGAAGTATGAGAAAGAACTGAAAAGTGGAAGAGGCATCTTAAATGACTAAGGACAGCAAGAGGGGTTAGATACCTGCCTTAAAAAGAAATGGGGATACAGTAGACAAACAACCCATTTATGTTTTGCTAAGTAATTTACTTGGAAAGGTTTTCACACTGTTTGCTATTAATCAAGTTTCATTCCAGTATCACTCCAAATATAAGCCCAAAATAAATATTGATGTCATTTATGAAGTTATAATAATTTAAGTTTTCTTATTTAGAAAATAAAAGTAATATGTCTTCTCATGTTTCTCATTCTTGCAGCCCACCTTTCTCAGGCCCAGATCCTATGAAAACCTATAACATCATATTGAGGGGCATTGACATGATAGAATTTCCAAAGAAGATTGTCAAAAATGCTGCTAATTTAATTAAAAAACTATGCAGGTAAGCAATTCAACCACATTATTTTGGGAAGGTTTATAATGTGAAAAAAATTAGATCCCTTATCGACTATTATTTTATTTTTAGGGACAATCCATCAGAAAGATTGGGGAATTTGAAAAATGGAGTAAAAGACATTCAAAAGCACAAGTAAGTATTCTTTCCTTATAATTTTAGGTTTGAAAGGTCAGAAAACCTGACAAGCATTTCCCCAAACTATTGTTGTTGTTGTTTTTTTAAGTTAGTGGTTGCATAACTGATACAATTAGCATATAAAAACATCCAACGGGAGATGCAGACTAGTTAGCCTTTTTATTAAAAGGCTTCCTGGTTCTGTGTCTGGAACATTAGATATTCTGACTCTGTGACATGCCTAACAACAGATCCGCTGAATTCCGTTTCTTCCAACTCACAATAACTAGTTTTTTTTCCTCTCTGGCACAAAGAAGAAATGTATATTCTAATTCTGGGACTCTATTCCCTACCAAGTATTAAACACAAAAGTCCTCCGCCATATCATGCCTCATTTCCTACTAGATCAAAATATATTTTCCCAACCATTTCCTAATTAGGTGATATGACAAAGAAAAGAAAAAAAGTAGAGTACAGTCTTTTTAAACAATTGCAGCATCTTAAATATCAGACTTTACCTATCCATGTTGACTAGATGTTCTGAGGCTAAATTAAGACCAAATTGATTTTTCTCTATTAGTCTGTTTCCATAACATTCACAGGAAATTCATATCTCTACTAGAGGAACTTATTTAGCAAAATACCTATGAACATCTAAAAGGCCTGCTAAGAATTTGGTGTAAGCATTTGCTAATGGTGAACTCTTTCAAAGACAAAAAACAAAACAAAACCAACCTACTAAACAAACAAATAAAAAATCCTTTATATTATTTGGTTATTTGGTCCTCATTTTCACAGAAAAGCTGTACATAGAATACCTTCATTGTATTAAAATAGAAAAAAAGGAGGAAAATGAGATGTGTCGAGACCAATACAACAACGTGAAAGGACTGAGGCTACCTACTGAATCAGGTGCAAAGATGGAAAGATAATTCTCTGTTCTAAATTGCCATGCCTAGATTCTATTTACCTCCTTAAAATATCCCGGAAGGTACAGGGCCAAGCATATTATGACATTCATTAAGTTATAATGATAGTGTAGGAACAAGGTCATACAGATATTATGAATGAAATTACTAGAATAAAAAGGAGGTGCTTTCTAATTGGTGTTTACAACTGACAATTTTTTAAAATACGTATTCCACCAAATAAGGTAATAAAGAACATTTTTGTCACATTGAACATGTTTGCCTACTTGCTTTCCATCCGTCATGGACATCATATATGTCGCAATGAAAAGGTTTTAGCTGAGACAAAATGCCTTTAACTCTCTACTTTTTCCTTTCCTAGATGGTTTGAGGGCTTTAATTGGGAAGGCTTAAGAAAAGGCACCTTGACACCTCCTATAATACCAAGTGTAAGTAGACTTTCTAGGTTGTAATTATGTGTCACATGTGAAGGTGTTTATGTCAGTCATCAAAGACCTGTTATTTCTAAAGTGTTATTCTATGATCAGATTAAATAACTATAACCATTTTTAATGGTTAAAAAATGACATCTAAAATTCATATAAAAATGACATCTAAAATTAAAGTTTAAAAACAGATAAGTTAGGGGATAATTATTTATATGTATTTTACTGCTACCTTTTTAAACTATTCATTCTAAGTTTCTTTTATTTAGGAATGAAAGTTGACTTTTAGTATGATAAGTGTTAAATATATACTGCTGTAGACAAAAGAGTGTAATAAATCTCCAACAATCAGGTTCCTTTTTTTTCTAATAATATATAAACTTTATACATTATTGACTAAGAAAAATAATACATTAACAACTTTAATATTCATATTCATGTGCTTCCAGAAATATGTATATTTTAAATTTCTGTACCTATGTGCTCTCTCTATATAAGCTACAGTAAGTTCTTAATAATTTAGTGTGTATGTGAGTATACCTGGGTGAGTTAGGACAATGTGTTACTATTTTCTGTTTATGATTCTATTTTACTCTCTACCTTAATCTTTCCCAAGAGCCTAACCCATAAGGACCACATTAAAGCATTCCTTTGCCCTCTGTTTCTTGGTTGGGTTTGGTCAACAGTGCAGCAACCATTTTCAACAGCTATTGATTCCTGGCCAATATTGATTCATTTATGCCCCCCACATAGTTCCTCCTCTCTTAATCCCATATTCTCCCCCCCCCCCATTTCAAACTATCCTACAAAGCTACAATAGTCAAAACAGTATAGTACTGGCAGAAAAATAGACACACAGACAAATAAAACAGAATTGAGAGCCCAGAAATAAATCTGCACACTTTTGGGCAACTAATTTTCAAAAAAGAAGCCAAAAACATACAATGGAGAAAGGAAAGCCTTTTCAATAAATGGCATTGGGAAAATTGGAAAACCACATGCAAAATGAAACTAGACTGCTATCTGAAACCATACACAAAAATTAATTAAAAATGGATTAAAGACTTGAATATAAGATCTGAAACAAAATATATGGAAGAAGACATTGGGATTGAACTTATGGACTTTGGTCTCAAAGAGGTTTTTGTGAACTTTACCCCAAAAGCAAGGGAAGTAAAAGCAAAAATAAATAAATGGGACTAGATCAAGCTAAAAAGCTTCTGCACAGCAAAAGAAATCATCGACAAAACAAAAAGGCAACCAACTGAATGAAAGAAGATATTTTCAAAACTATACCTCCAATAAGGGGCTAATATCCAAAATATATAAAGAACTCATACAACTCAATCAAGAAAAGTAAACTAATTAAAAAAAATGAATGGAGGACCTGAACAGACACTTTTCTAAAGAAGACGTACAGCTAGCCAATAGATATATAAAAAGATGCTCAACCTCACTAGCTATAAGGGAAATGCAAATCAAAACCACAGTGAGATACTACCTCACACCTGATAGAAGGGCTATTAAGAATAAGACAAGAAATAAGTGTTGGAGAGGTTACAGAGAAAAAGGAACACTTGTACGCTGCTGGTGGGAATGTAAATTGTGCAGCCTCTGTGGAAAACAATATGGAGGATCCTCAAAAAATTAAAAATAAAGCTACTCTATGACCCAGTAGTCTCTCTTCTGGGTATCTAGCCAAAAAATTAGAAAACACTTATTCAAAAAGATATATGTATTTCTATGTTCACTGCAGTATTATTCACAATAGCCAAGACGTGGAAACAACCTAAGAGTCCCTTCACAGATGATTGGATAAGGAAGATGTGGTACATATATACAGTAGAATACTATTTGGCCATACAAAAGACAAAATATTGCCCTATATTACTTTGAAGCACTCCCAGGCATTACTGTGATCTTTTATCCTTCCATCAGGATCTAAAAGATACAGAATTCCTTTTCATAACTCTCTTTCTTAACACATCAAAGTTTTTTGTTAAATAGCCAGTCTAAGTGTTTATAGTATATTAACTTGAAAGAGATTTCAATTGATAGTGTTTATATTTTTATTCATTACTGCATCTAATAAAAAGCACTGCTTCTTAACTAAGGGAGATAGGCTGCTTTGTGGTCCAGACCCCTTCATTTATATACTTTCTTTTTCTGAACTTAGGACTGCTCTTTATACAGAAATATTTTCTCTGCTTCTAAGATTTATTTCTTTGCTAATATCCATTTATTCACAAAACAAAAATATCATTACCATGTCTCATATTACAGATTCTAATTGCATTCATGAAGTTTTGTTTTTAGAACAAGTGTAGAATGAGAAACTCAGAGGAGTGAATAGTAAGCCTAATTTATTCCAATCTAAATTTATCAAGGGTCTCCTTTTATGCCGTAGTACTATTAAATGTGGACATATATATTTGTAAAAGGTTTTAAATATTATAGAATATGAGGGAAAATAAAATGTGTTTCTTCACTACTTTTACCAATGCTCTACAGATTGGACTTTGCCTAGTAAATTTGCAAAAGTTTTGCTTGAGTTTAGAAATGGCTTTTTATTATGCTTAGAAGACACAAAAATTCTTAAGATAACCTACGAGGCTCTATGTGACCTGATGCCTGCCTATTTCTCATTCCAATTCCTTCCTCTCTTATACAGCAGCCTTGTTGGCTTCTTTTGGTAACTTCACAGCATTAAGCTCTCTCTCTCACCCCAGGACCATTGCACATGCTATGTCCTCGTTATCAAACTTATTGATACTTAGGTTTAAAATAACACTTTTTCACATAGGCTTTCCACTTATACTCTCATGGTATTTTGTATTTTTTTTTTCATAGCAATAACCAAAATTTAAAAGAAATAATCGTAAAAAATATATAGCTAATTATAATCACACAATTTATTCCTTACTAGAGTATAAACTCCATGAGGGCAAGAATTATGTCTATTTTTAGTCACCACTGTTACCACACACACCGCGCCCCCCATCATGCAACAAAGCACAAAATATGCCACTTAGTAGACACTCAAAAAATAGTCATTGATTAGGAAATAAATAAAGAATGCTATTTAGCATGTAATTTTACTAAAAACATCAGACATCTTTTTGCTGTTCATTTTCTCATTTCTAGGTTGCATCACCCACAGACACAAGCAATTTTGACAGTTTCCCTGAGGACAATGATGAACCACCACCTGATGACAACTCAGGATGGGACATAGACTTCTAACATATTTCTCTTACCTGCTTCTGCCTTGCTGAAGACAGCTTTTTTCTGAGACACAGCTGCCAGCAGACCTGAAGGAAAGAGAGAAGATTTAGTGCTCGGGGTCACCATGATGCCTTTGATTGATGCTGCTCCAGTAACTACAGTGGCATTAGGACTTATCGTTTAGATGACAATAGCGCTCTTTACACGTTTTCTGTTTGAACCTAAAAATAGCAGTTGACATGGTGGTCCTGAAGCAAAGCCTTTCACCAGTAAAGAGATGTTTTCTATTGTTGCAATTATCTTGCTTTGCTCTGATTATCATTTGAAAGACTGTAAGAAACACTTCGATCTAGTAAAAGAGTCTGTACCTTACTAGAATTATCGAGATCAAAAAATAATATATTGGGTACGATAGATTTCTATGTTACAAAAACTGGGCTCTCCTCTTTCTTCAAGGGAGGGTCATGGGATCTATTACCGCAGGCCGGTGTATATACCATACAAAAGAGGACCACACATCTGTTGGTCACAGTTCATGTCAAACCAGTGGTAGCAGTTTCATGATTTTATTTCCCAGCAGAGTTGATGACAAGACTGAATGTTACCTTTCCTTTCTGACATTTAAAAATTGATATGTTAAAAGCACAACTGCTATAGATTCTGCTGAGAACTCTCATAGCAGGTATATATGCGTTTTCACAGAGGATTGAAAAAACTACATGCATGATATTTGTTTCTTTCTGACAAATTGGCATGAGAGTGGAAAAAAGCAATTCACAATCATTTCATATTTTTTAAAATATTGTGCTTCAAGATGGTCCTGGAAATAAGTGACTAGCAGCCAATTGGTTTTTATTTATTACCTAACACGCCCTCAAACTGAGGCTTAAAATATTCCATTTTATAAAAATAAACCCTTGGGGTCAGGGTGGGGTGGGGTGGAGAGGGATTAAGATTCATCCAAAAATAAAAATAAAAAACTATATAGGTGCTATGTATATCTTTCATCTGTAAATGTCAGTGTCTAAATAGACAACACAAATTCTAATCATTACATGTGTAGCCAGAGACTCGAGCATTTTCACTAAATTTATCAAACCAAACTCCTGTCAGATTTCACTTATACAACATAGTCTAAGGTTGAGAAAGAAAAGTGATTAAAAACCTGTTTGAACTAGCTTCTTGTCTTAGGCCTGAACCAAAAAACAAACAAACAAACAAAACCAAGTAAATAAATAAATAAAAAGAATGAAAGAAAAAGCACAAAACCATTGAGATTTGCAGATTCACTAGATGAGAAACCTTATTTATGTGAGGTTGGGGGACAAGACGAGAACTTGGCCAAGTATTGATTACCTTTTCATGAATTAGCTGATATGAGTTTATGTGCATGTGAAAGTAGGAAGGAAGTAGAGAGGAAAACAAGAATCAGATTTCTTAAAAATAAATTTTAGTTAAACAAAAATATTGCAATCCTGAAATATCATACTACCTAGAAAAGACTAGATTTGAAAATAACAAATTTATTTGCTTTTTTCGCATAGGGAAAAGAATCAGCAATTTAAACTGTGTCTGTTGTTGGCAGACCAGTTGACTATTGTTAGCTGTCATAAGCAATAGAACAATTAGGAAGCTTTTCTTGGACAAATAGCACCTATACCTACTTAGACAAATACATAACCCTATGAGCTGTCATCCTGATTTAGAACTGTGTGTGAATTTGGTACATTAAATAGAGGTTTGCATTTTTCCAGGAGAGTTTTTTAAAGTCAAACCAATGTAGAACTTTCTGCAAAAAATATGTCCACCTAGATCATTATACTGTATCCAAGAAGGCATATATTATTTTGTTTGATTTTTCATACTAAGACTACTTTAGAATATATCTTATTAAAATATAATAATCTAAGAAATATCTGGAAAATGAAAGTACTAAGGTCATAATATATAGTTAGAATAAAATAAAATTAAAATTTTGATTCTAAGATGTTAGTATTACTCTTGTATTATTGGAGTTTTCCCTCCCTTACAAAGAATTCTCAAAATCAATCTCTTCTCTAAGATATCCAATCCTCCTACAGATTTTAGAATATAAAATTAAAACATATAGGCCTAAAATCCAGCTCTGAATGCTATTTCAGAAGTTTGATATTGCTTTTGATTGGGCTTTTAAAAATATATAATTTCAACATTATAGTCAATGTTCTGTAAATTTTGTTAAAAGATAGAGTAGTTTAGGAATCATCAATTTTGCTATAATATTAAACTTACCTAGTCATTAAGTAAGAGAATCTGCTTCTGAACTTTTCAAATATCCCAGTCACCCCAGAAATTAGCACTTACTATGGATTTTGGAACTGTGGTTCAAGTCTAAGACAACCAGTATGTACAAGTTCTGTGGAGAAGGAAGAAGTAGCATTCAGCACAGTGTATCTGTAGGTCGTTTCGTCCACTTGTTATTGCATCTTTGTTAATTTCATCTGTGGCACTGTGTTAGGATGTCTAAATCACCAAAAACTAAAGATGAACTACATTTTCCAAGAATTACTTACAGAGAACATTTATTTAATTTTCAACATTGAATTTTAAAGATTTAAATCTTGTCTTAATGAGGACACTAGGGCTAATATTCACGATCAGCTTCATAAAGTGCATCTTACTTTACTTCTGAATTTTTTATGCCCCCTCTATTTTCTTACACTAAAGATCATCTGGATAAGTTAGAAGAGTGCCAACCTGTTTGATTTGTTAACTGATTTTCTTGTTAATACTTTGAGTATGGGAATTAAGGGCTTTCTGTGTGTCTTAACTCACAGGAAAACTGAAAACTGCCAAGGAAAGGAACATCATAATATAAAATAGATTGAATACATTAGAAAAAATGATTTCTGGAAAATTGATATGACTTTTACGTTTGTATCTTTTTTCATATTAATAAATGGATCAGATCCATGTGGCATTTAAAACATTTACTTTGATTACATTATTTACAAATAATTTTTACTTAAAATTATGGAATATGCATGTGATCTACACATGTATAATATATAAATTCAACTGTTGCATTTTTCTGGTTTCATTTTTGACATGACTGAACTGATGGTAAACTTAAATTGAAAGTAGTCAGCTACCATATTGAAAATAAGGATTTTAGAACTGATTTTATACATTAGATGTGATCTGTGCATTATCCATAACAATGTTTTCTTTCACAGTAGGACCACAGACAAATATTTATGTAAATAGATATTTTTGTGTGATATTTTGTGGTACATATAACTTTTTTTAGTGTTCACAGCATTATTATTTTATTTTATTTGTATTGAATAATGTTTTTAGGTCCAAGTAGACTTGAATTAATGTCATAATTGTCAGTATTATTGAAAATTATGTCTGTACTGTTATTCATCTATCCCATAGTTTAGAACATGACCTGGCTATCTGGCATTGTTGCAAGTGCCTTAAATTCATGGCATCCTATTAAAAAAGACAAATTTGGTGTTATGCTGCATGACAAAGACAAACACACCTCAAAATGTTGTCCTTTCTTAGCTTGCTGCGTTTTACAGTTCTTTCTGCTAACAATTTATAAGCCTTTATTATATAATATTGATGAATTACAGAAATGATGAAGTTGTTCTCTTATTTCTGTTAAATGTACCAGAGCTGTGTATCTGTTAATGAGATACAGCGTCATTTCTGTGAAATGTATAAATGTATGTGCAGGTCAAATTAATATATGACATATTATCAGTCTGTATACAGGTATACCTGTTTCGCTAAGCTGTGCAGATTCAGTTAAAAAATTAGTACAGTCAAGTTCTAATATATCTCATTTTATAGACTCCATTAAAAATGATCCAACTCAAAAGAAAAATTGGATAATTACAGCTAATCACACCTCGCTGTGAAACAAATGATTAAAATGTACCTTGGTGCACCACTCAACAAAACAGGATGCTTTCTGAGTTCTTGTATATGCAAATCATTTCTGAGGCAAGTTTTCAACAGACCTAGAAAGCTAAACATTGAAAATGTGTTGTTAGCCCTCCTCTTTATCTGACCCTGAATCAATAGTCAGAGCTCTAGGACCTTAACAATGACTCGAAGGTTCAGGCTTTCCGAGAAAAGGGACATTTCTTTAAGCGTCATCTATCAAATTTATTTCAATGTATGATGTTTTTACAACTAGTCAGTTCTTTTGTACTATTACAGCTATCGTTATTTGATTGTCCTCTTACAATTTGTTCTACATGAAAGAGTTCTTTGTTAGTCAGAATGCAACAACTGTCATCAAATGGTCATTGACTACTTGCACTCTTTTGATGTAGATTAAAAACTTTTTCATAAATTTAACCTGCTTTGATTTGCTCTGTATTTTTCCTGCAGCTGTAATTGCCGAGTGCCTGTTGTATACTTTATAGAGTTGAAATAAAAAAAAATAATTACTTTTGAACCTAGTTGATGTTTAATTCCAGATAAGATTCCAAGGATAAAATTGAGATGTCATACTATAATTGAAATACTATATAGTGCTATTGTAGAATGTCACTATACTAAATGAAAATATTTATAAACAAGTGTCCACCAAATAATGGATTATTATTTAATATAAAACTAACCTAACAAGTTGGTTTAAAGAATTCAGTAGAGAACATTAGACCATTCTGTGTGAATAGCGAAGCAAATGAAGATACCCACACAAACCCCAAATAAGCAGTTTGCTGTGCACCACTACCACATCACTCTCCTTGCCCCCACACCATACTCTCTTTTTTGTAACTACCCCTAGTCAAATTCTTAACTATGCAAACCATCGAAGGGACAATTCTTATGTAATACTATATGCCTGGTAGGAAGGAGTTATTTAATATGAAAAGCAACTTCATGAATCTTTGTCTAAAGTTTAGTCACCTGATCCCTCTGTTAAGCATCATATGCATTAAGAATATAGATCTAGAGAACAATATTATTGCAATGTACTCAACTCTCCAAAACCCTGGTGAACATATTCTTCCTACATCCCTTTGTTCCTCACTTCAGTGAAAGGTATACAAAGTAAAACTGGCTGCAACATAAAGATTCTCTTAATCTGATAGCCTTTGTCTTGTTGACATTGCATTGCCAATGATAGTGAGTTGAAACCCCTTTTAAATGCAAACTAGAAATTCAATCAAGTTAACTTCCTCAGACACAGCCAATAAAACTTTAAAAATATTATGTAACTATTGCACATCCAGTAATTTTATTTCTCCTGCAAATAGAACTGATCAATACGTTATTAGTATGTCCTTTAAATTCTATAATTTTCATATCTTTGATCTAAGAATGGGCTTCTTTGATCCTGGAAGGTTTTTTTTTTTTTTTTTGGAGGGGCATGCAGATCAACATTCAATCATTAGAGGAGTGACTTGGGACAGGGAAAATTGGCAATGGTGAGGATGTTGCATCCACGCCACTGTCACGTCCTGTGCATAGTAATTCCAAGTGAAATAAATCACTGCATAATAATTCTATGACAATAAGAATCAATTATAAATTGGTCTGAGAAGAATGTATTGGTAGTGTCATCATCCAAGTTGATCCCATTATGCTTGCAAACCTACCCACAGTTTCTAAGTTATAGCCCTAAATGTGTCATGCACATAGTGAAGGACAACCACCACACTAATATTTTTTTCTGAGAGTCTTGTTTAGCAATTTCCTCTGTATTTCATACTTTCCAACTCGAAAGGCCTATAAGTTGACAAAACAATAATATTTACCTCTGGCAGCTGTGATTTTTCACCCAAAGTGAGACTATAAAGCAAAAGACAAATCCATCCACATCCACATGCCGATGAGCAAAGCCAGACGGATTGTCTCGACTTCGTGCAAAAAAAAAAAAAAAAAAGAGGGAGAGAGAGAGAAAGAAAAACAAATACAAAATATTCCTGACAACCCCAAAGGCTGGTCACAGATTTCATAAAAATTAATGGACAGGCCCAAGGCATATGTTCTAGGCCAGTGTTTTCCAAATACCAATGTCATAAAATGTACATGGAGAATATAGCAAAAACATAGATTTCCAGAATTACCCACAGCTATTTTGAGGTATAGCCCAGGAATATGAATTTTTAACAAGTACCTTAGTTTGTTTTAATGAAAACATTTATATATATCCATGAAAGAGAAGTAGGAAAGCCCATGGGAATGTATTTCAGGAATGGTAGAGTAAAAGAGGAAAGAAAAATGTCTATAAAGAGTAATGGATATCCAAATACTCTCAAATATGTTAAATGACATTTATATTCCACTATACAGATGTCCTTTCCATTTTCTGTATTAAAATAGTACTATATTACTAAAAAACTATTTTTGATAAGGAATACATCCACATCTTAATTTCCACAACCAAAAAGATATCCTTATACTCACTTCTGGTATCTGGTGTATCAGGGAAAAATGCTATGAGTATAATTTGCATGATGGCTTTTAGTCCTCTAGGGAGAAATGATAACAGACTCTAGCTTCTAACTCAGCTGGACTTGAACTGCAGTTCACCAATGTCACATTCCCCTGCCTGAGGAATTCCCTGCCCGATGGTAGTCAGGATTAGCCTTCTGACTTGCTTTGGCCATTGAAATGTGAGCTTGTCACTTCAAACAGGAATGTGAAGAGCCAATTCTTGCTTCGACATATTCTCCTTTCCCTCTACTGCTGTGATGGGCAATTCTTCACCAGTGGCTGCCCCGTCAGTTCGGAAGCAGAATGAAGACTGAGGAGGAGTAGAGTCTCTAGACAACCCACAAAGGCTTTAGACTATACTGTTGTTTGGAGCCACTATGAGTTCAGCTTTACCTACCTCAAACAGCAGCGTTACCTTGCCTATTCAGATGTATACAACTAGCACATACAGACGAACCTGGGGCCTGTCCTAGCCTCTGCATTTGAATTCAGCAATGTGAATAACATGCGGTCAAGTAGATGACAGGATATGTCTTTAGACCTTGAATAAGGGGCAATAAAACTGCAGTAAAGACAATGAATTCACTGAAATGCCTAGTCCTTTAACAGAACTACTTTAAACTCTGCATAGCAAAGATGTGTTTTAACAGGGTAATAGGGATAAACATGCTCAGGACCCAGACCATCTAAAATTGGCATAATGAGTTACTTGGACCACTTGGGTAAAGACTTCAAAATTTAGAATCACCAGGGTTAGTGGCATGAGAAGCAATGAGCCACAGTAGAAATTATGTTAGTCATGGGATTGGGGGATTTACAATTCTTAGGGAGAACATGAGTCTTCAAGATTTTAGAAGGAGATGAGAGGCTGAGTTTTAATAATAAAAACAGATTAGAATAGGAACAGAATCCCATATTAACTGTAGTTATGATGTCATATATGTAACTCTTTGCTAGTTTACATGTGCCACAAATTACTTTCTAAATTAGTGTAAATTACTAGGGCCTTAGTTTCCTTAACCATAAAAGAATTATTAAAGTTTCTTTTAGTAATAAAATTTTGCAATTCTAAGTTACTTCACTTTTCAGAACCACCTTTTCCTTATTTTTAAAAAGCAGGGATTGGCTAACTAGAGCCCATGGGCTAAATCAGCCCCCACCAGCCTGTTTTGTAAATAAAGTTTTATTGGAACAAAGCCAATACATACTGTCTACAGCTGCTTTCATGCTACAGCAGCACGTGAGCTAAATAGTGAGAAAAAGTTGTATGTCAGTTAAAGCCTAAAATAGTTACTGTCTAGCCCTTTCCAGAAAAGTCTGCCAACCCCTGTTCAAAAGGAACAATTTATAATGGACCAATGATTTTCAAGTTGAGTATTTCATAGTACCTCAGGATATAGAAGTGATGCCTCAGAGTCAACAAGGATGGAACAGGAAGAGATGTATACGTGTTAAAGAGAGGAAATGTGCAGTGAGAAGGCTCCATAGGCTCCAGATTTCTAATTCTGACTGAGTTAGAGAAGTTCTGATATTATCTGTTCCACGCATTAAGAACATATGTGAAATTTCTTTTGAAGAAATGATTCTACTGTTAATTTTTGATATTTGAAAAATCACTGTATTAAATTACATTTGAGGTTTTTTTCATGTGCAAGTTTTTAGGTGATTGGTAGCTCATTTCTTAGGAGAAAAAAATTGAAAAGATCCATAAATAGAAGATAGTAAAGTTGGAGAAAATAGTGACTAGAAAAGAACAATAGGGGCTCTTCTGGGGTACTGATTGTTCAATTCCTTGATCTGACTGGTGATACAGGTGTGTTCACTTTGTCCACACTTATCAAATTATATGTTTGCATATTTTACTTAAATTAATTTGTTTACTTTATTTTTTTAAAAAAATTTTTAAGTGAGGCAACCCTAGTTTGACCTCATAGATGGCAAGGACCTTGTCACCTTACAATCCTTATTTTTTTTTTTATTTTTTACACCTACAGCACTGGTCTTCTTAGGTGGTCTCCCATCCAAGTACTAACCAAGCCCGACCCTACTTAACTTCCAAGATCAGACGAGATTGGGCAAGTTCAGGGTGGCATGGCCATAGACTTAAGTTTACTTTAAAAAGTTGAAACATATAACAAAAATACATATCAAAAGTTATGAGCTTCTTGGTCTGTATCTGAGTTCAAAGGGGCATTACTATTTTTGCCTTTATTCCTCATATGTAAAATTAATTTTCTCCACACAAAAATAACTTTCATTTAATATATTTTTAAAAATCTTCTTTCTATGAGTCCTTATCCCTCTGCAATCTATTCTCCAGATTGAGGTCTGATTCATCTTTTGAAAACGTATGAGTCATCAATGGCTCCTGGATGCCCTAACAATGCAGTCAAACCCATTAATGAAGTTAGCTTCCAACCTCTTTAAAACTATTCTTAGGTCTCCAACCACTTGCTTAGCATCTAGCCTTTTAAAACTACTTTCATTTGTATAGAGAACTTTGTACTCTCCTCTGTCTTCCCAGTTTTCAATGGCCAACTAAAGTTTTTCTGATCTCAGCACAGACATAACAATCTTCAGAAAGCTCTTCTGACCTATAAGAGTCTTCTTGGTTCACAATCACTGGACCGAAAGTCTGGATAGTGGAAAAGGACATTTTGAGAGCCTAAGTGATTTTTTTTTTTTTTACCTGAGAGATATGATGGCAGTTATGCCACTGGGAAAGCTAGAAAAGAGCAAAGTTATTGAGGTTATCGAAGAACTCTTTGGAGGAAAGATTATCTCAAATAGCGTGGAACAAATTTGGGCATACTGCGCTTCAAATAAGTTTGATATTTAAAATATTAGGTTTACCCAATACAATTTAGGGTTATTTATTTGTATTAAAAATGATTCCTTTTTGACTTAAAATGATACACTGCAAAATTATTTAAAATATAATTTGCTTTTTTCTTGGAGATAAGTATTTTATGGAGAAGCACTGGGCTGGTAAAGAAGAGAGTAGGAATT